GAAAGAAAGAAAGAAAGAAAGAAAGAAAGAAAGAAGGAAAGAAAGAAAGAAAGAAAAAGTGCCCTGTGGTGTGTTACATTTGTTTATGCTGTGGAACATTTGTTTTAATGATGCAAAGATAAGTTGCATTCTTTTATGTTGCATTTGTTTGACTCTGTGAAGCTGTGTTACTGTGCCTGTCTAAAACACCTGATTGGTCTAATAAAGAGCTGAACAGCCAACAGCGAGGCAGGAGAAAGGACAGGCAGGGCTGGCAGTCAGAGAGGATAAATAGAGGGAGAAATCTGGGAGGAAAAGGAGAAAGAGTAAGAGGATAAGGAGAGGAGGACACTAGGGACCAGCCACCCAGCCAGCCACACAGCCACACAACCACACAGCCACACAGCCACACAGCCACAGAGTAAGAATGAAAGTAAGATATACAGAAGAAAAGGAAAAAGAAGCAAAAGGTAGGCAAGATAATTTAAGAAAAGCTGGCAAGAAACAAGCCAAGCTGAGGCCGGACATTCATAAGTAAGAATAAGTCTCTGTGTGTGATTTATTTGAGAGCTGAGTGGCGGGGGCCCCCCCAAAAAAGCAAAAACAAACAATAACAACCCTGGACCATGTACAGTTGCAAGTGTATGAAAACTTTTCTCCTGATATTAAAGAGTAACTAAACAAATTAAGAAGTTTTTTTTTCTTTTTAAATTTCATCTACTTTTGAGAAAAAAACTCATTATGTAACTAGTGCTAGCCTCGAACTCCTGACCCTCCTGTCTGTCCCCAAGGGCTGAGATGACAGGTGTGCACTCCCACCTCCAGCCTTTGTTGAAACTTAGTGGAGTCTCGTTCCTCAGCTAGTGATGCATTGGCCAAACAGAGTAAAGCACCCACTGGTTCATTGCAGACTGGTCTTTAAGATGCAGGGAGACTGGGGGCCCGGGCCTGGTGACCCTGCAGCAGGGTGGTCTGCTCCTTTGACCACTGTTCTAACTGAGTGGAACGTTGAAACTGGGAGAAGGGAAGTGATGTTCCTTCCTGGCACTCTCTCTAGCTCAGTCTCAGCCTTGAACAGAACTCAATCCACAGCGGCCATCTTCAGTTTCTGTAACGTCAAAAATCCAATTGTGAACTTGATGAGGACTAGACCTTTTCCCTACAATATAATGCCAGTGTATAAGATAAGATATATCCCCACGATATAATGCCAGTGTATAAGATAAGATATATCCCCACAATATAATGCCAGCGTGTAAGATATATCTGACGCATAAAATATATCCAATCTATAAAACACTTCTAACAGCTAAACTTGGTTATCAACTTGACATATCAGGAACAAAGAACCCTCAGTTGAAGAATTGCTTCCATCAGACTGGCCAGTGGACATGTTTATGGGGCATTTTCTTGATTGCTAATGATGTAGGAGGGTCCAAAATATTGTGGGCGGTACCATTCCTAGGCAGGTGGACCTGGGCTGTATAAGAAAGGTCATTGAACATGAACCTAGGAACAAGGGACTAATGAGCATTCCTCCATAGTCTGTGTTTCAGTTCCTGTCTCCAGGTTCTTACTTGAGTTCCTGACTAGCCTTTCCTTGGTGATGGATTGTGTTAGACCTGAGGAAAAAACCATTCCCATGGCTGTCTGATTAAAGCAAGCTGTATTTAGAAGTGCACAAGGAACCGGCCAGACTACCTCTCCCTAAGTCGGGGTTTCAGAGAGCAGTCCCTCACTGTCTTTTGAGGCCCCTTTTATGAGGAAGGGTTGGGGTTGAGATTAATTGGCCAGTAAGACCTGGACAGAAGAGTCAGGGACTCAGAGTTCAAGGCTGCCTCTGAGGTAGATAAATGTCATAGTATCACCTGGACAGAAGAGTGGAGGACTCAGGGCTCCGGAATGTCTTTGGGGTAGATAACTACAAGAATACATCATCTGGAAGGGGAGTCATCACGGGTATTCAGGAGTTTAGCAAGGCAAAAGGGGTGGGTGTATATCATGGTGTCACAAGACAGTGTAGGTTGAAAAACATGGTTTGCAGGACACATAGGGCTTAGGAATCAGAAACTTACTCTTGTAAGGTAGGAAGACTTAATAACAACGTATTAACACTGTGGCTCCTTAACAACAATGTGGCTCCTGTTCCGGTTTCACATAAACTGTAAGATGAAATAAACCCTTTCCTCCCCAAGTTGCTTTTGATCATGGCATCTATAAACAGTAACAGAAAACTAGAACAACACCCCATCTAAAAATATAAATATACCCAAGTCAAACCTGATGATTTTCTTCAGCGAAGTGGGGCTGTCGACGCTTTTGTGGTTCGGGGCTCGCCTCCTTCCTTAGCTTAGCCCATGAAGCCTGGAGCAGCCAGGGACGTGTCTGCGTGCAGAGGAAGGCAGGACTCTCACGAGTACAGAAGCACCCAGGATCTTTCCGCTCCAGCCCCAGCCTTACATGTCTTAGCTGTACTTGACAAGACCGGCTTCTCTTACCCTTCCTTGTGGCCCTCTTTCCAGCCATCTTAAGTGAACTCACAGAACCTGGTCATTTTCTACCCATTGTCCTTTCTTCCCTGTGGCTTGTCTTCAAGATCTAAAATTAGCTTGGACATCACTGAGCAGCCCTGAGCACAGTGGGGGTTGGGTAGGGGAGTGTGATAGCCGCCTTGCGGCCACAGTCTTCCCAGTACCTCAGGACATCAGTGCAGTTTTTCTTTAGAACTGAAAAAAAAAAAAAATGAGACTCGTGGGTGACTTAGCTCTGAAGGGAAATCCAAATCCAGAAGCTGATAACTTGGAGAGTCCTTTCCAGCCTGAGACAGAGGGGGTGGGATGGGGCTTGTCTTCTCAAATTTCACCCAGACTGAGCTTGGGAGCATGAGAACACATGACTACGAGATGTTCCAAGTCTGTGGAGAACCCGCCTCCCTTTACCCAATCCAGGGAACTTTTTAACCAGGCTTCCCGGCTATTTTAAAACTCTGGTGCTTCAGGCTATTTCCTGTGGCTGCTAACACCCGGGAGAGTAAGAAAGGACTCGAGATTCAACTGCAGTAAAAATGTGAGTAAGTAAGGGAGGAGGGAGGAGGGAGGAGGGAGGAGGGAGAGTAGGAAATGAACCCAGCAAGATGCCGGTGAACTTCATATTAAAAAATGAGTTTAATCTAGGTTCTGCTCTCTCTGAAACATCACCAGACTTTCCTAGATTCAGAAAGTTCCAAACAGTTTATTTGGCTTGGGATTTGGCCTCAGAAGTGATGTCAGGATGAACTGAATTGTGGGAAAGCTACTCTGGGCGGCCTAGGCGAGACTGAGGGGATCCCCTCCCACAGGTGCTGAATTCAGCTTTCAGTACAGCTGTCTTGAGGTAATAAAAACTGATTAATGTCCTTCAGTGAGAGTTTATGAGTGTGCCCTCAGGACGTAGTAATATGTTCATCTGGACTCTGAAACATGCGCACACCCTGAGATTTACTGAATGGTTAGCAGGTCTATACTGGTTCCTGACTTCTTTTATTCAGATTGGTCACCTCTTGAACTTGGAATGTGGGGTGTTGACTTTGATCTAATGTTCAAGCTGGATCGAACCGTCTCTGTTCCTTTGGGTCACTTATTGCCCTGCCCTGTTGGGAGAGCATAGTGTTTTGGTGGAAGCTCCACCTCAGCCCCTGGCACCCTGGCAACCATATACCTGCAGTCTGGAATGTTCTGGTGGAAGCTCCACCTCAACTCCCCTCCCCCATCTCTTTCCCAAACTTGCCCCCTCAAAGTCTGCCAAACAGGGCTCCTCTTCCAGAGATGCTCAGGACCACTCCCATAGGGGATTTAAGCTGCATCTCAGAAAACAGAAACGTGGTTTTCTGGTTTCTCGTCCCTGTCTCCTCTCTGGGGGGCTGGAGAATCACCCAGAACACTTTACCCATCAAACCGGGGCTTTTTCTAATTCAGTCTGATTTGGTTTGATTTGGATTGCTGCATCAGCAGAGAGGCTTATCAGGGTGCAAAATCTTTTCACATAGAACTCAGGATCTAGAAAAATGGCTACCTCTGGGGCAACAAAGCGGCTCCAGATAGGATGGGGCTGCAGAGATGGCTCAGGGGGCTATGCTGTGCTCACAGAGGACTTGGGTTTGGTTGCCAGCACCCACGGGGCAGTACACAACTGTCCGTAACTCCAGTTTCTGGGAGTCTAACAAACAACCTCTTCTGGCCTTCTCAAGCTCCAGACACACATATGCTACACATACAAAAATGTGGGTGAAACATTTATACACATCAAGTAAAAATAAACCTAAAGAAAATATAATCATCTTCATTTTTTATTATTTATGGGTGTGTGTGCATGCATGCATAGGTGCCTCTGTGTACATGTGGATGTCAAAGGACAACCTATGGAAGTCTTCTCTCCTTCCACCTCATGGGTCCCAGAGATGGAACTCAGGTGGTCAGGCTTGTTGGCAAGAGCCTTTCCTGCTGAGCCGTCTCACTGGCCCATACTCATTCTTCTTAAAATGACTGGTATTATCCAAAATAACCACAGACATTTCTAGAAGCACCCTACTGGCATTTCAGATTAGGCACAGGGTACCCCTGCAACCAAGCACCAACTCCTACATCTATGGCTTCATAGGCAAACCGGGCGAGTTGCAAAGTCAAGGACAGCCAGGTGATTCCCGATGCTTTTGCGCCTGTAGTATCTGAAGGGGTAGAACTGAGGTGAGAGGCAGAACAAAGCTGATGCCATCTTCTAGATAAAATAGGAGGCAATACTGTGGAAATGGCTGCACCAGTGCAGGCAAGCATAAAACCAGGCATTGACGTCTCTATCTCCTCTGCCCCACAGTCAAGTTCATTTGATGTGTATGATGTCTACCTAGAGGGACACAAAAAATGAAGTGCAAATTAGAGGCATTGTTTTCCTCTTTGGAAAGATTTGTTTCTGTATTGAGGGAGTGATGTGTTCCAAAGCATTTTGGATGGACACCTGAAAGGTCCTCAAGGAAGGAGCTATTTGCATTGGAATCATGCAGACCAGGAGGCTATCTACAGCTGCATTGGAATCATGCAGACCAGGAGGCTATCTACAGCTGCATCACACGAGGCCCAACCAGTTCCTAGAGCAACTAGAGACTGTCACAGTCCTAAGGATTTACCCACAGCTCCTTTCTGGTTATCTGATGCATGTGACAAAGAGCTGGGAATGGTCATGATGACATTGCTTTCAGCTGTGGGAAATCAAGCCTCAATGACCCTGGCCTTGTACTCTAAAAGAGCAAATTATGAAGTCAGTGAGAAGAGCCACTATGAAGGGCCATGTACTAACATCTCTGGTTTAAACAACAAGATATAAACTTGCATTTTTCTGTTTGTTTTGGCATTTCCTTATCTTTTAGTTTAGTTTAGTCTACCACATTTACTTGTTTATTGTGTATGCGTCTGTGCACGCACACAAGTACACGCAGATGAGAGGATAACGTTCAGAAGTCAGTTCTCTCCTGCTACCGTGTGGACTCCAGGGATTAAACTCCAGTCATCAAGGTCTGGCAAGAAGCCCTTTGCCCACTGAGCCCTCTTTCCAGCCATTGGTGTTTTTTGTTTTGTTTTGTTTTGTTTTTTAATGTTGGGAATTGAACCCATGATTCACAGCATGCTAAGTAAGTGGCCAACCAATGAGCTACACTGGGAATTCTCCTTGTGTTTTTAATCAAAATGTGCATGCCTGTGAGTAGGGGCTCAGATCGAAATATGAAAATGACAATATTATGTTGGCTCTATAACTAAGATACATTGGAAAAGCAGGGATGTTTAATGAGACACATTTGCAGACACAAATATCTATCTCTTATAAACCATCGTGTCTGGAATCTCTCGCTAAAGTGAGCAAGGAAACTGGGAAATGAAAGCTTAAGCTTTCAGTCGGTGTCCATCTGATTGCTGTGTACAAACGATGTGGAGAGCAACAGACAGACGAGGACACACGAGTGCCAGTCCTTAGAGAGATCCTTTCACACTACATGCCACTGGCCGCCAAATGATACGGAACTCATCAGTGGATTCTAACAATAATACACTTGGCTTGGACTCCAGGATGGGTACTGGAGGAGTAAGATTTCAAAGGAAAAGACAGTAGCAATGTCATTTTCTGGAAGTATGGGTGTTAGGGGATCTCCCCCCGCCCTCTGCCGTGTGTGTGTGTGTGTGTGTGTGTGTGTGTGTGTGTGTGTGTTTCCTGTTCATTGTGGTACACTTCTGCTTCTCCTGTCTCAACTTCATTTGGTAAAGGATTCTCTTATACATTATCTGAAGTTTATTCTCATGTTTGACCTACGGTGATAAAAATCACTTATCCACTGTACACCAGGACACACCTTTTAAACTGTTTACAGATCTGAACTGGATATAGTGACACACACTTGGAGTCCCAGCTCCATCGAGATTAACATGGGAAAGAAGTCAGTCTGAGGAGGAAGACCGGAAGCCCTTTCTCTCCCCAGCTTCATCTTCCGAAGAGCTTGTGTAGAAACAAAGCCCTCAGACTATAACCCAGAGAGGAAGGGGATTCTAAAGGCTCATAAGCTGCCTGTCAGGATTCTTTCCTCAGCTCCGTAGCCCACATCCGTTCTTGGGTTCCCTAGCCCACATCCGTTCTCAGCATGCACTGTCCTTTTCTGTTTATGTCCACCCTGCGCCTAACTTAAAAGGTGAGATGCCCCCCACTGTTCCCTCCTCCTGGCAGCGGCTGGGATTCTACACTGTGTTCTTCTCTTAAACACAATGAAGTAGTCCTGGCATTTCTTTCTGAGCCTTTTCATTTTGTTTTAGTGGTGTTTTGTTTTGTTTTGTTTTGTTTTGTTTTGTTTTGTTTTGTTTTGTTTTGTTTTGTTTTGTTTTGTTTTGTTTTGTTTTGTTTTGTTTTGTTTTGAGACAGGATTTCTTTCTGTAACCCTAGCTGTCCTGGAACTACTCACTCTGTCGACCAGGCTGACCTCAAACTCACAGACATCCACCTGCCACTGCATCCCAAGTGCTGGGATTAAAAGCATGGACCACCACCCACCGGTCTCTGAGTCCATTTCTAAATTCTTGTATGAATGAGACTAAGAACCTCAAAAGGGAGCCTCAGTTTCCCGGTAAATCTGAAGAGTCCAAGGAGGGAAAATCAGGTGAGGTCAGTCATTAGAGGTCAGCCTGGGCAGTAAATAAATAACCAAAGCTTCCAAATCAGAAAGTCTCTACGCCTGTACTATTAAAACTGACTCGGCTCCTCTCTTCTCTGGGCATCAGAGCACTCCACCTGTAACCTGTGTGGGGGAACACAGAGCAAATTTGACATTCAGTAACTTTAGCTTCCAGGGAATTTGGGGGTGATGGGAAAATGTTGGTTCTTTGGTGTTTGTTTGTTTTGAACAGTTAGCCTTTATTCAGAATGTCCCAGTTGCTTTGTGTGAGTCAGATGGTGAGGTCTGAGTAGGAGTTAGTATGCCTTTTTAAGGACCTTCCCTAGCAGCACAGAAAATCAAGCTCAGGAAAGAATTTGGCTCCGCAGGCAGTCAGTCATCCACCTTGCTTTAGAGCAAGCCCAGCCAGTGAGGAACGGGGCGGGGAGTATGGGTAAAAAACAGCAGGGTTATGCAATTCATTGTCAAGCATGACTTTTTTTTTCTTTTTTTAATTGACAGAGTCTCTCCAGGCAGTGTTCACATGCTCCAAACTCAAGCGTTTAGCTGGGCCAAGCTGGTTAAGCAAACAAACGCAGTCATTTGAATGCAATGATTAACAGGAAGCCGAGAGAGCAGGCAGTTACCAGCAGCCTTTCACGGAGAGAAGAGGCTTGACTCACAGTTTCAGAGCAATGCATCGCCCAAAGATCACCGATAGTGATTTTCCTGTGGGGACAGGTAGGGTCACCGGCCCCGGGAGCCTCCCTGGGGTGGGGCAATTTTGTGTAGTAATTGGTTGTAAGTTGGTTGGAGGCTGGGCAATGGAGCTGCAGCGGAAGTCTGTCCATTAAAAATGAAAAGATAAGCAAGCTAGGAAGAGGGAAGGGAGAGGAGAAAGGACCAAGAAGCTTCTCGAGGCTCATCAGAAGCGCATCCAGGTGGGACGATGTCCAGACTTGGAGAAAATGTAAGTTAAAGGAAGCTTCGCTCCTCATCCCATCTCTAAAGACATTTGGCTGGTTTCCTGGAAAATGGGCTCCTGGAACTACTGTCTTTTTAGTCTGTCTCTTCTTGCTGCCTTGACATTTGTATTTATTTACAACAGCAAACTGTGGGTGAACAATCACTTCCCAAGGGCAATTGCCAATGTTTCAGTCTTAGCAGAAGTCTGTTTTCAAATGTTCCGTGGGGAGAGTTTTTACACAGCAGAGAGCCCAAGGAAAATGACCCTGGAAAACTTCACCTGTTCTGAGTACAGGGTTCAGAATCACTACATAACAGAAACTCTCTCTGAAGAAGAAGCTGGCTTCCCTTTGGCTTTCACACTGACCATCCACAAAGATTTTGACACTTTTGAGAGACTCTTCAGGGCGATTTACATGCCCCAGAACATCTACTGTGTGCATGTGGATAGGAAGGCGCCGGAGACCTTCAAAGATGCTGTCCAGCAGCTACTAAGCTGTTTTCCCAACGCCTTCCTGGCCTCTAAGATGGAACCTGTAGTCTATGGTGGCTTCTCCCGGCTCCAGGCTGACCTGAACTGCATGAAAGATCTGGTGGCCTCCGAGGTCCCATGGAAGTATGTTCTCAACACCTGCGGGCAGGACTTTCCCCTGAAAACCAACAAGGAAATAGTTCAGTATCTGAAAGGGTTCATTGGGAAGAATCTCACCCCGGGGGTGCTGCCCCCAGCTCATGCAATCGGAAGGACCAAGTACGTCCACCAGGAACTGTTAAATCATAGAAATCCCTACGTGCACAATACAGCAAGATTAAAAGCTCCCCCTCCTCACAATATGACCATTTACTTCGGCACTGCCTATGTGGCCCTCACCCGTGAGTTTGCTAACTTTGTCCTCAAAGACCAGCGCTCATTGGACTTAATCTCCTGGTCCAAGGACACCTACAGTCCTGATGAACATTTCTGGGTGACACTCAATAGGATTCCCGGTATGTATATTCTGTTTCTCTCTCCCACTCTCATCTTCCTATCAACAGTGTTATTATTATTATTATTATTATTATTATTATTTTAAGAGACTTGGTTTCATTGTGTCCAGCCCAAGCTGGCCTGGAACTCCTGAGCTGCTGTGACTTCCTGAGTATCTGGGTGATTACAGTGATGACCCACTGTACCTGTCTTCATTTTTATTAATATATATGACATGATCAATGCTGAGTAAGCTTCTCAAAAGATGGTAAAGACAAACAAAAAACAAACTTTTTTTTTTTTTTTTTGGAGGTGGGGAGTTTTGAGACAGGGTTTCTTTGTGCAGCTCTGGCTATCCTGGAACTCACTCTGTAGAACAGGCTGGCTGGCCTTGAACTCAGAGATTTGCCAGCCTCTGGTCCCTGAGTGCTAGGATCAAATGTGTGCACCACCGTGCCTGGCAGTAAAAAGTGATTGAAAATAACAAACTTCTTGGCAGTTTCAAGTGTTAGTTTTTTGAGTGTGGAATATTTATTTGTTGATTTTTTTAAATTACTAGCTTTATTGGCAAACCGTGATGTTATACATTGATGAGTACAATGTGTTTTGCTATGAGAACACAGTATGGGCTGAGTGACAAGCTACTTAGCATACCTTGCTTGCCTATCATTTCTGGGGGGCGACCCTGGAAAATTGCTGTCTTGGTTGATGTACAGTTGCCAGTCCCTCTGCTATGCGGTCTTCTCTAACCTATTCCTCTCTCTGTCTGGGAGTTTGAACCCTTTGATCTTCAACTCTCTGTTCCCTCTCTACAGCAACTATTCTGCTCTATCAATTACTTTTCTTTTCTTCTAGGGTCCACATGTCTGTGAAATCATATGGTATTTTGTCTGTCAGTGTCTGGCTTTGTTCAGGTTGTGTAATATTTTCCTGATTCATCCATGTAGTTATAAACAACCGATTCCCCCTTTTGTTGTTGGGAGTTTTTACTCTTTTGGGGGGCCCACCACCTAGCTCCCAAATAAATCACTCCCAGAGGCTTATTCTTAGTTTTAAATGCCCGGCCTTAGCTTGGCTTGTTTCTTACCATCTTTCCTTAGCAAGTTACCCTATCTACCTTCTGCTCTGGGCTTTTCCCATTCTCTTACTTCTGTAAATCTTACTCATACTCTGTGGTTTGCTGTGTAGCTGGGTGGCTGGCTCCTGGAGTCCTCTTCCTTCTCTGGCTCCTTTTTCTTCTAGATCTCTCTTCTCCCAAATTTCTCCTTCTATATATTCCCTCTGCCTGCCATCCCCATCTATCCTTTCTCCTACCTTGCCATTGGCCGTTCAGTTCTTTATTAGACTATCAGGTGTTTTACACAGGCACAGTAACACAGCTTCACAGAGTTAAACAAGTGCAACATAAACAAAAGTAACACACCTTAAAATAATAGACTGATTCCTATTCCATTTTGTATCACAAAATATCACATTGCTGTTAATGTAAACGAAAAAATTTTTTTACAGGAGTTCTACTCACAGACTGGGAGATATGACTCAAGCCTGTTTTATAGATGATGAAAAAATGAATTAGCAGAGTCAAGATAAAAAACTTTATTGTGTGGCTTGGTTTTACTGATCTCTCCCACTCTGGGACTATAGACCCATCCTAGATGTGGGTTTTTACACAAGGTAAGAGGCTGAGCAAATGCTAACTACTCAAAAGGGAAAACATTAAAACTAATTCCTAATTTAAAGTAACACCATTATGAGGCAGGGAGAGGTGGCACACACACACATCATTAATTCCAGCATTTGGGAAACAAAGGCAGGGTGAGCTCTATAAATTCAAGGATAGGTTGGTTTACATAATGAGTACCTGGCCATCTAGAACTACATTGAGATTCTCTCAGTAAAGAGAGAGAGAGGCACTATAGTGTTGGAGAGAGGGCTCAATAATTAAGAGCGTGTACTACTCTTGCAGAGAACTCAAGTTCAGATCCCAACATTGGGCAGCTCACATCTACTGGTAGCTGCAGCTCCTGAGGATCTGATGCTCTCTTCTGGTATCCAAGGGCACTTTACTCACATGCAGACACCCACACACAGATACACACACATACATATAATTAAGGTAAAAACAAAATATATATTGGAAAAGGGAATAAAATTAAGATTAAATAATATAAATACAATTTGATGGCTAAATTTTGATCCTTTTAAATGGGAAGTAGATTGATCACCATGTCTATAATCCTAGCATTTGGGAGATGGAAGAATCAAAAATTCAAGGTCATTCTGAGTGACACCAAGAGTTCAAGGCCAACCTAGTCTACATGAGTGCCTGTCTCCAAAAACCAAAACTTAAAAAACAAAGTGGGAAGCCGGGTCGGTGGCACACACCTTTAATCCCAGCACTCGGGAGGCAGAGGCAGGCAGATCTCTGTGAGTTTGAGGCCAGCCTGGTCTACAGTGTGAGTTCCAGGAAAGGCTCCAAAACTATACAGAGAAACCCTGTCTCAAAAACGAAAGTGGGAGAATGATACAACCTTTTATTTCTCTTCTTTTCTTTTCTCTTCCTTCTTTCCTTCCTTCCTTCCTTTCTTTCTTTTTCTTTTTTTTAATGAGCATGTTCCTTCCTGGAATTATATTAGAAACATAAACAACGCCAAGGAGTTCTAGACCAGTACCTTCTCAGTTGACACAAAGACACTTCAAATCTGTTAGACCACACACTCATCTCTCAGCAGCAAAGACACAGTGATAAGCTGCAGTCTCCTAAACTTCATCTTTTAAAGCTGATCTTTTTGTTCCTCTTTTTGTTTTTTGTTTTTCAAGACAGGGTTTCTCTGTATAGCCCTGGATATCCTGAAACTTACCCTAGGCTGGCCAAACTCAGAGATCCACCAGCCTTTGCCTCATGAGCGCTGGGATTAAAGACGTGCACCAGCACCACCACCACCATCTAATTAGAACTGATTTTCTAGTGTGTATATCAGTTGCTCCTGAATTAGTTCTACCTTGCTTGACACAAGTTCCAAATGAGTTGAGCAATCTCATGTTGTGTACAGTGAATGGAGTCAGTTCTATTTTAATTCAACTCTGAATAGTAGTAGAGACAGAGTTCATGAGAAGCAACGAGAGCTGGACTTGGCAGGGCACACCTTTCATTCCCGTGCTCGGGAGGCAGGGGCAGTTGGATTGCTGTGAGGCCAACCTGGTCTACATAGTAAGTTATAGGTCAGCCAGGGCTACATAGGGAGAACCCGTCTCAAGGGGGGGAAATGCAGCTGCCGTCAAAGTTCTGTCTGATTAGAGTTTCTTTAGTTTGGAAATGCAACACACACTGCGAATGTTACCGTCACATGGAGCTTAAGCAAGCTGCTGAAGGCTGCCCCTCGGGCGGGGTTGGAAGGAGTGAGCAGAGCCCTACGGCTGGGATATGAGCCATCGAGAAGACTTGTCTTAGATCTTTGCACACAAAGCTTCCTAGATATAGGAAGTGTTCGAGGTCTGATTTTCTCAGAACGGGAAGAGGGTGATGTACTGAGTTAAAAGAAGCCGGCCTCAAACACAGGTGGAAATCCCTAAGTATACCCTCTTTCTCTCTCTTCTCTCTTCTCTCCCTCCCTCTCTGTGGTTTGTTGAAACAGGGTTTTGCATGTAGTCCAGGCTAGCCTCAAACTCTTTTGTTTCTCTCTCTCTCTCTCTCTCTCTCTCTCTCTC